TTCGTACATACGTACATCAGTTTGAGTTGCCATACCACATTAGCACAGAGATACAATTGTCCAATCAAATCCCATAGTGGTAGAAGTAGTAAAAGTATAAGCAGTATTCGAACAGATTAGGGTTTGAAGATGTTCAAGGAGTATAATCCAGTTAAATAAATTCAGAAAGAGGAAAAAGGGACATGAAGAATTCAGAAGATTAGAGTTTGGGAGAACAAAAGAATGGATGCACCTGAGCTATTGCAAACGATTTCGAGTGATGTCATTCAAGGTCTCTAACCATCGGTTGCTATCGTCTCGCAGATCCCAATCAAGTAGTCTACACCTACCAACATGGCTCAGTTCACTTGTCTGTGACATCAAAGATTTGTGCCATGTTTTGGTCTGGCCTCCCCTAGATTTCTTCCAACCTTCTCCTACTCTGTAGTTTATTGATTACAAACAACTTCTTTATATTTAAGTTATGTGATTATATGATTTTTCGTATCGATTATTTTCATCTAGTTTTCTGTGTTCTTATTGAGAAAAACAATCTCACTTGTTTCTTTAGGTCATGTATTTTAAAAAATGACGGTCTGTCATATAACTCGTAAGTACTTAATTCTATTACAAATCCATAACGTACAATTATTTACAATATCACATAACTTTTGTTCTATTTCACATAAATGTGGACTGATATTCTTTAGCTACTTACGTAGTCTATATAGTTTCTTTTTTTCTTTAATTTTATAACTGTTGATAAATTTGAGACTAAAAAATTATCAGCAAATACTCCTTGAATTCTCAAATCTGTGAGCCGAATAACTAACATAGGAGCAAATAGTGATACTGTGATTATATTATAAGTTATTAAGTCTTGTTTATGTACCTAGAAAACTGATTTTATGTTATAAGATTTTGTAGAATCTGATATCCGAATCAGAAGGGGTTTTGTGGAGATTGTAGTAATTTCAATAGTTCAGATCATGAATCGATTGAAACTAGATCACCATGGAAAACCTGGAAGCGCTGGACGGCCGTTTCGTCCTATTGTGGGACTCCACAACATTAGGCATCTACGACCCCGCCCCGCGGGATTCAAACCCAGGACCTATCAGTCTCTCGCGCGATCGATCAACCACTAAACCTTTGAGCTGACCGGCATCCAACGGTGTCAATGTCTAATTTGATGGTCTAGCTTCAATTGACTCATGGTTTTAAACATTAAAATTACTATAATATCCACATGATCACTTCTGATATGAATCACAGAATAACGAAAATTTTGATAAGAAGAATATATTTACTCTGATTCAATCCCAACTCAGAATTAATAATATTCAAAATCCCTCTTAAATTAGCCAACGTATAATATATTTTCTTTAAAATACTTATTGCAGTATAAATGTAAATATTGTTTATTAGATTACCAATGGATGTTATTACAAAATATATGACTCAAAGATTAAGCTGAATAGAAACACTGGTTAAGAAAGTAAAAAAATAAAGCATATCCCCCTTTATATGGAGTGTTGATAAGCAGCCACTAATGATCACTCTTTAAAAACTGACTGAGAACAAAACTACATCCAAATAATATTTTTTTCAAATTAATCATCAAGTAAAAAGGTCAACGGAGAGAACCAATAGATGTATATTTCAACTCTAGTTGAAGAATATTTCTGAGGTCATAAACAGATGACTACATCTGCCAATAACAGGTTTAGCCCACAAGCTGACAAATTTGTTGCATTCAGGAACATGTAATCCAACAACTACTCACAAAAACAAACTATACATCAAATACTGGATAAATCGCAATAATTGCTAGAAATATCACATAGGATGAGGTACTCCACAAATCCATCTACATGACCATCAGAGAGCTTATAAACACCACGGTGTACCTGTCACGTACGGTGATCCACGTGAACTATGAACATGATTTTGACTGTAGAAATGCTAATATATTGAACAGAAAAAGCATAAACACAAATAAGGAGTTCTTATTAGCATTGCAGTCTAATCAACTATCAATCAGTAGACGTATTAAAAGTGACTCTATCCATGAGCCAGTGAGAAAGGGAATTAACATATGCAAATTAATGGTTTAGATCAGATGAGGTGACCATAAAAACAAACTATATAAACAGGAGCTGTACTATTATGAAGAATAATCAATCGAAATCCAGGTAAACAAAACAAGACGTTCGTTAGTTGTAGATTAATCCTTTCAACAGATTTCGAATTAAAGATATTTCTGATACTGTTTGGCAAACAGACAACGATGATTCAAAAAACGTCGCACCTCTATAATCGATACCCATTAACAGTTATCCATGATTTACTTGTATTTGTTGTTATTCAAGATGTAATTGATGTTAGGTTCAAAATTTGAGTTATGGTAACAAAATAGTTTAACACTACTGAAAAAGCTTTAATTTAATTGGGAACATTTTGTCACTAAGAGAAAACGAGCATTTTATACAGGCTTGTCTGTATTCATTTCACAAATTAACTTCAACCTGACCAGTTTTATCTATATCTACTCTGCTTCATAAATCCACCCAACACGAATCAATAAAAACTCTTCTCCTTGGTAAACGATAACCAATTAGCTTAAATACTGTTAAAACAATATGTAAAAGCTTTATTTTTGTGAATAAATTATCATTAAATATATTATAATTGATTCATTCAAAGAAACTATTCTTCACAAAAAGTTGATTTAATTATCAGTAGTTTGAAAATATTGGATCTGAAAACATTTCACAGAGAAGCAGAATTCATTTATAAACTATCACAAACAAATTCCATGAATCAGTTGTTTCTGAGCTATAAATAGATTATCAATCAATTTTGGAAGTCCAGTTTTCATCACGGATTAAAATAGGTTTATGACAACGACTTTCACTCCGTTTTATAATATAGGATACATAATAAGGTTGTATCATCAACTATACGTCTATGTCATGTTCCAAGTCGTTCATGTAGGTGAAATGAAACTAAGCTAGAATCAGGCTTTCTACGCTTGAAGACAAACAAAGGTATTACGTGACACAATAAAGTGAAGAGGGTAAAAAGTAAAATAATTGTACTGAAAAAACTAGTAGCTCAGCTATGATAAGTGCAATAATCGAAGCCTATCAGCCATGAGTGGATTTTTAAAACTGTAATGCATGTAAATTTAGAAAATGTTTACAATAATAGGATGTGTAAACAGAAAAAGTTTTAAGAAAAAGTTGCATAAAAAAAGATTCTCACTAAAACTTAAGATTACTGAGATGATTGGATTGCAAACAGCATTTTTAATGAAAAAATTAAGGATATTAGCTCGAATTATCAATTTTTCACCGGTTTGTTGAAGATAAATCCATCGTTTTACACGAGAATATAATTGTCACTGATTTTGATAACATAGAAATCATCTGTTCTGTCTAATCGATATGATCTTTGCAAGATGTATTCATTGAGCGTCAGAAGACACATGAACAAAATAAAGAATAACGAATAAGTATAATTGTGGAAATCTTCTTTACAACAAAGTGTCTTTCATAAACAACCTATCCATATGCTAATTAAACTCCTACTATTAACTACTTTTTAGATAAGATTGAAGTTAAACATCTTGAGTTAGTCTAAACAAGCTGGGGAAGAATTTAATATGGTAACGTCTCTGAATGTGAAGTTGGGTGGAACGGCATAGAACCCATTAGGGAACATCCGTTCCTTTCAAGATTACAGGTACACCTTGCTGACGAGTGCCAAATAGCACGAAACCTAGATCCAGTGTTTCCTGTTGACTACTTCCAACCATCATCTTATCCCAACATAGAGCACGCAATTTCGAATCACTTACACTGGTGAGCACATTGCAACTTGATCGATAGGAATCGATCAGAACTAAGAAGGAGCTGACATACATAACACTGATCACCCCCCAGTGATCAATCAATTGTATATACATTTCAGACCTATGAGAATTCAATGTAATGTATCATTATGACAAGGTCCTCAAATACAACACAGAAAACAGAAATCCGGTCACACTTGATGGAGAAACTCTGGAAGATGTAGAATCCTCCAGATATCTGGGAAGCATCATCGATGAACAAGGAGGATCCCATGCAGATGTAAGGGCAAGGATTGGCAAACCAAAGGCCTCATGCCTACAATTGAAGAACACATGGAACTCAAAACAACTGACAACCAATATCGAAGTCACAATCTTCAATACGAAGGTCAAGACAGTTCTACTGAATGGAGCTGAAACTTGGAGAACTACTACAACCACCATTAAGAAGGTACAAGTATTTATAAATAGTTGCCTACGTAGGATACTCAACATTCATTAGTCGGATGCCATCAGTATCAATCTACTACTGTGAGAGAGAACACACCAGCTTCCAGTTGAAGAGGAAATTTGTAAAAGACGATGGAAATGGATAATAGACACAATACGGAAATCACCACACTGCATCACGAGGCAAGCGCTAACTTGTAATCCTGAAGAGAAGAGGAAATGTGGAAGGCCAAAGAGCACATTACGTTGGGAATTGTAAGCAGACATGAAAAGGATGAATAAAAACTGGAAATAACTGGAAATAACAGCTAGAAATGATTTCACAGGAGAGGGTTGTATGTAGAGTGTTGGTGGGAGGCCTCTGCTCCTCCACGAGTAGTAACAGGCATATGTAATTAAGTAAGTAATATCTTGTTTAGACAATCTTACTATAGTAGGCTTTTTTTGATAGGTATATGTTTTAATGTTTAACCGCATTTTATTAAAGGATACCACATCGGCGATGAAGCTAATATTGTAATTAAACAGCTTTCATCAATCTTGTTGCTGATTAAATATAACCTTTTATATTCAAAATATATTCTACACATTGATGAAATCACTAAAACTAATATTAATTTATTCCACTAATCTATCATTTATGAAATAATAAAATCATAATGCGATTTACTGTTTTCTTCTTTTCATTTCCACCCTAAATAAATAATTATCGTTATGAACAATTAAGATTTTATATTTGTTGAATGAAATTTTCATATGAACATAGATTGTTATGTAATAGAAAGACATTATGAATTAGGTGAACTAAAGAATAAGTAAAGATTAACCAGAATTTGTTATTATCCAATTATAATTGTTATTCAAAAGAGAGGGGGAGCGAGAGAGAGAGAGAAAGCAAAAAAGTCAAAATAAAGTATGTAGAAAACCAGAACATCTAAAATTGTGAAGAATATTGTTTAATGAATATGTACAAGGGTATTTATTTCATCGAGTATTACATTAAAACATATACTGGGAATCAAAGGAAAATGAATATAAGCTATTTAATATTATTGACATTAATATCAATTTGTTTACCCGCTTTGAGTGATTGATTTCATTTCATTGATAGTACAACTGATGTGCAGCATTAAATGAATAAAACATAAAGATCTACAGAAGAGTTTGTATTCTGTAGGACATATATATATGAGTATTTGAATGAAACAAAAAATATGTTCTATTTGTGTGTAGAATGGAATGTTTTAGCTAAACCATATTTTACTGTTTTAGTTAAATAATCAAGAATTGATTTCCATGTAACTGCTAAATCATCCGACCATAAGCATTCTTCTTTTAAAACTGGTTCTATAGCACCCCATAATTGGTCCGAAACACTCTAAAACAAAGAACAAAAGTGAGAAAATAATGATGAGCCAGTGATTACTAACCAATGAATATGGCATGCACCTGGCTCCGTGACGGACTTGATGGTTATTACCAAACAGTGATTAACAACTTCATTAGCTAGATTTCTTTTTGTGTATCTAGAATTGATGGTCATAAAACGTAGATGTCAAAAATACTGGTTTAAATCTAAACGGCTTTAAGCACTTAACCGAACTAAATACCAATGCAATGTCAAACATTTTTAGATACATGCAGGTATGTTAGTTCTTTCTTAACAATGGACTTTTGCCGTTTTTGTTAGAAAATGAAAAAGTAGAGAAAAAGTGTAGTCACAATATCGAAACCCATGAGCAATATGAATTAGCAACAATACCAACATAAGATCCTCAAGTTTCATGATGAATATTATACTTATTTGAAAATGATTCAGAACTACTTGTAATAAACATGAATTATTACTGAGATAGTTACAGTTTCTAAGCTTAGATGTAAATTTTCCGTTATTTTGTGAATGGTAATAATAAATGATTTCAATAGTTGAAATCATCAGTCAATTGACCACGATGGAAAACCTGAGAGAACTGGACTACCGTTTCGTCCTAGTATGGGACTCCTGAGAAGTGCGCATCTATGACCTCGCACCTCGCGTGATTCGAACATATGACCTACCAGTCTCGCACGCGAGCGCCTAACCATTAGACCACTGAGTTGGCCAGCATCCAACGATGTTAATATCTACCTTCGACCAATGATTCATGATTTATAGAACTTAATTATACATTTGATCAGTTAGAAATTCGTTGTTGTATGTCGCTTACAAGCACATTTTGTACATACAGACAATCATGATATTGCTATACATTCTGTCAAGCATCAAAATTATAAAAAGACTAGACTGAAGTATTTTTTTCTTTAGTAGTTATAGAAATGATAATCAGACTACCAACTCCCTTTAGACTTCATTGGTTTACTTAATGGTTATTATAACAATAGTAATTTCAATCAGATACTGAAGAACTGAGTATCTAATCGTGAAATGTTCATTAGAAATTAAACTTTTGTCTTATTTATAAATGATTAATTTATTTAAAACCATGATTCAGGACAAAAGTTAAATTCAACAAATGAATAGGTATGGATAAAATCTAATCAAAAATCTCATTTAACAATAGAATAACAGTAAGTGTTCTCAAATTCACTTGGTATTGTTTACTTAAATCTTCCTATTGATGTTTAGAACTGTAACTCATTAGTCTCATATTAGCATATGTACATACTGTGCGTATGGCGTTGATATTGACTTAATTCACAAGCACTATATGCAAAGATTGGTAGCGGCTAGTAGTGTATTCAAAGACATGCGTTTCGTTCTATGTGGGACTCTTCCATTTGATGTACCTGCATCCCAGAGTTGATGTTCATTCTGTAACTCGAACCTAGCACCGTTCGCTTCAAACGCTACCGAGTTATCGACATTGCTACTGAGTCCTGATAGCCACTTGCTTGTGCAATGGGATGTTCTCTCTTCCTTTTGTTTAAACATGATGAAATGTTGAGCTTAATATTTCAAATTTCTATGTACGGATTTGTATTCTATGATTCGTGTGAATATTCAGTAGAATATCCATTGAATTCATTGTTTCATATATGATTGACGAAATTTGTTTCTCAGTAAATAACCAAATAAACTCAGCTATACATGTAGCAATTCAGTTTACACCGCGTACTGATTGTAATTATACAACCATTAAAAACCAAAGAGCAATGGTTAGTTGTTTCTTCCTATAACAAGACAAATAGGCGCTTTTAATCCACAGAATCAGTACAGATCGAGCTGAAAATCTTCAGTCTTGTTGCGACTCTTAACCCCTTATATACCGAGCTGGTTTCCGAAAGTTATATTCTCACCTGTAATTCATTCACGAAATTGTCAAACTATATTCTATTGGCTGTTGTAAATAACTGTCACACACCTGATGTACGTAAACTCTACTAATCACTGTTTCTAATAGAAAATGCTGAAATTTGATCCCAAAATTAGCTAGAAATGAATAGAATGTAGATATTACTATAAGTGATTTCTGAAAATTGTTGGAATTCACGATTAGTGATAGCTAGAAATATACGATTTATCTACAAACAAATTCTATTTGAATGTTCAACTATTGACATTGGCTGTTTTTAATATTTCTGCTGTGATGAAGCAACGTCACTATAAATCCGTAACAAAACAATGTAAATGAAAAGTATTGCTATCTTTGTTTTCAAAATAAGTGGGGAAAAAATGTCAACTTACAGATACCAATGCAATTGTTGGAACGTATCGGCAATGTTTTGATCCAATCATCATTAATTGTCTTTCAATATCATCAGTTTTAGGTAATCGAGTAATTAGTTTATCTACTACGCTTAGTACGCGTAAACCATGAACTTGCATTGCTGGATCATGTTTTACATCAACGAATTTTCTCTTTCGAAATTCAGTGAATGCATCACGAAAGTCTGAATGCTGTTCAAATATGCTGAGTATAAAAAAGACAAATGCAAAACACAAATGAATGCTTCAGTTAAATTCTTGATGTAAAATTTTTAAAAAACAACCAAGAATAAAACATTTCTGAATATTCAATAACTATTTATTGCCTACATTTTTTTAGTGAAGCTAGATCTGATAGGGCTTGATATAATATACAATTATTTACTATTATTTCAATATAAAATTGAATGTCTTTGAACCCTTGATCTTTATTAGTGAGTAGTAAATATCAAGATACTTTGATACCAGAATGCTGGTCGGAGGCCTATGCTCCGTTGGAAGTCACAGGCATAAGTAAGTAAGTATCAGAACGAACAACATCACTTCAGTTGTCTTGTATATTCGTTTATATTATCAAAAATTGAAATCATTGTATTGATTTTAACTACTTTTTTAGTTTCAAAAATTTACTAAAGACAATAGAATTAGAACTGATTACATAAATTTAAAGACAATGTGATCTTCATGAAAATTGATTCTGAATAGTAATCGTTTCCGGTGGGTCAAAAGAAGTTTATTAATGCTGTTATTCATAATTATCATAACTGTTTAACGAAATTGATGCGTTTTTTTCATAATGCAAACTAATTCATCTATTCGCAATCTGTTATATGGCTTGAAGGAATTAGAGTGATTATTTGTTGTATGACCATTTTCTTTGAAATTCATTTTTTCTGTCAAAAAACTAAAAGCTGATTAAGTTCTGACTTTTGTATAGTTGCTTTCAAACATCTATGAATGAAAAACATAATAAAATTGGTATTTAAAATAAGTTTCACTATTGTACAACTGTGGTGTGTGCTACTTATATCGACATAAGTAGTATAATAGCTAGTCAGGAATGAAATGTCTCACAGCAGAAAGTCCAAATTATCGAGAAGAAACGAACGGAAACAGAAAGCAATTAGTATGGAAATTCAGGAACAATGGAGTGTGAGACGACTGACTGATATTTGCAAAAGGCACAGTCAAGTTTGAGACAAATGATTGACATTTTGCAAGTTAAATAATCACCAACGTTGATTTATTTTGAAAAAACGTTATATATACGTAGTAGTTAGCTGGTTTTCAGAATTTCGCAGTGGTTCGCTTAAAATTGGTATTCATAATTTCATGTTCATAGTCCATATTTTGAAGCCATAGTTCAAGATAAATTAAAAGAGGAACTTTATAGAGTTTATTAGAATTAGGGACTTTTTATAGTAAAACTGAGGTGAACATGAACATGAGTGGCGACAATGAAATTTGTTTGAACATAAAATTACAGTACATCTCACTAAAATCTGAGAACCATACAATGAACACTTAATTTGCAAAATATCAATCAAATGTCTCAAACTCGACTGTTCATTTTGCCAATATCAGTCTATCACTCCAATGTTCCTACATTTACATACCAATTGCTTTCCGATCCCGTTCTTTCCTTCTCGACCTGCTACTGAAATACATTCTATTTCTAACTATCGTTGTATACTACTTATTTGGATATAAGTAGCTCACACCGCAAAACGTTTCATCAATTGTATGTATTGATATCAAATGATGTCATATACTTTTGGTTCGTTTTTACAAGTGATTTTTAAAAAATATATTCGGTTTGTAAAATCTTTGATTTATTCATTCAGTCGAAATGTATGTTTACAAAAATGCTTGTTGTTAATTTTTTGTGATCTAGTGGTCCAGAGGTTAAGTGTTCGCGTACAAGACCGATAGATTCTTGATCCGAATGTCGCGAGGCGAGATCGTGGATGCATACTATTGAGGAGTCTCACAATAGGACGAAACGGCCGTTCAGTGCTTCCAATTTAACATTGTCAATGCAGTAATAATTAGATCCATAGTCAGACAAAGAAAATCACCAAGTGAAACTGAAAATCCAGCTGTAAACTATCTCATTAATCAAAATGAATGAAGTGTGTATGATAAAAATATTTTACTGAAATTCCATCATAGACTATTTCAATAAAATGATAACTTAAATAACACTCACATAGTTTACTCATGCAAAAATCAAACGAATAACGCAAAATTTTACATTTCATTAAGTCATTCAAAACAAAAAGCGAAAAAAAAAGAAAAGTGAAGAAAGAAAAAATGAAAAACAACTTAAATTTGTAATGGTTTGTAACATTTTTATACATGTAATTCATTCACGTATAGTTTCAACAAAATTTATCGTTTTAATTCATAGAACAATTTTAATTAATCACTTATTTATTTAGAATGTTTTATATAATACAGTTATCTCTGAGAGATCTTTGAACAAAAATGTGAGAACTAGTTGGAGAAAATAGAAAAAAACCTACGTATTAAAGTGTTGTACATCCCTGGAATTACATACTATTTACCTTATAAATAATTAGAAACTTTCTATGACAACTATTTTTCATCATTAGTAGATTATTCATGAGTGATTGTTTTCCATTATGTTATTCAACTGTAATTTTATTAATATGTTTTATGATATTGACCGTGAGAAAAACTTATGTTTTTTTGATAAGACTATAATTGATGGACGCTAAAGTGACCTGGAGAGTATTCACCTAATAACTAGGACTAAATTAGAGTTATAAACCAATGTGAGGAATCAGAATTATAATTTATAGTTGGTGGTTAAGGTTAGGATTTCATCACGAACTGACATCAGCTATAATGCCAAAACTCCATTTATCCAAATGGATGAGTGAATTTCACACTAAAATTCGAGGCCTTTTATGAGATTTGTAGCTCAGGTGGATGATTTGGTGGAGATTTGTTCTCTGGGCTCAGAGAACAAAAGAAAACGATCGATTTATCTTGATCCATTCGTTTTTCATCGTTTATGAAAAATTTGTCTTTTCATTAGTTGACATCATGAGCCAGTTGAAGCTAGATCACCATGGAAAGCTGGAAGAACTGGACGGTCAGTTCGTCCTAATGTGAGACTCTTCAGCAGTGCACTTTCACGATCTCTCCTCACGAGATTCGTATCCAGGACCTTTCGGTCTCTCATGTGATGTTTAAAAAAACAAAATTAATGTCTGTCATTTTCACCTCATATAAAGTTATTTAAGCTTTTTGAACTAAAGCTAAATAGCTATATAATGTATTTTCTTTGCTGTCACACATTTGACCTTTTAAATATTGTGATGTGGTTTGTTTATATTTTGTTCAAATTCACAATTTTTTCTCTCAGTTAAACAAATAATATTAGATAAATCAACGGGAAATACATGATTGTTATATCTTCTAAACCTTTTGAAAATTTATTAACAAACATTTCGAATCCAAATCCGTAAAAAGAACTGTTATGGTCAAAGTAATAATTTATTAATTATTTATTTAAACACATAAATATTGGTACAAATGGGAACCGAATACACATGCGCTACACAAATCTCATTTGATGTGTGGGAGGGCTCTGAGACTGCCCGGGTGCCCGAACTGAGACAGATCGTCTACTTGAGGGGCTATACCCGCAGCCTTCAACATAAAGGTCTAATCCATAAAACGGTGGAGTAACGTTAAGAGATGCAGTCACATGGTATCTGTTGACAAATAATTGGTTCATGCGCTATTTGTTTATTCAGGGTCCTGGAATCCATGTGCACTATTGATTTGGAATGAGGGTTTTTCAACTCCCCTAGGTGGATCCTCCGTACCCACTGACCCGGTTAAAGCTCCGGATATTTGCTTTTTGTCCTCTCAATTTCGTAAACAAGACCTGTGGTGCAAGAAGGCAGTAAATAGGACTTCCCTGGTAATGGTTGTATACATGTGGCCTTGTGAGAGCGTTTGGAGAGGGAGAGCTAACTCTCCCCACTCTCGGCCGTGTTAGGGCATTTGGTTTTTTATTATTATTACTAGTGCATAATTAAAAAGCCTCACGATAATTGTAATAGCATCCCCTTTTCAATAAGCATACTTATGTTTTGTTCTAATGAATGATACTGATAAAAACAAACAAGCAAACAAAAAGTTCCAATGAATAAGCATAGAAAATTAGGTTTGTTAAACCCGATGGACAAGAAAGTAAACACACTTCGGAGGTAAGTAATTAATTCGAATCTCAATGAGAACATTAACTATGAGATACACATGAATCGACATAAATTGTCTAAAACATAATAATACCCAGACCTTTAATTTCAGTACTAATTATAATCTATACACAATAAAAGTTTCAATTATAATGTAATGTGAAATCATGCACTCATGATGTACATGCAGTGGTGAATATCTAAATCAAGAAAATACAAACCCATATAAATGTAAGATAAATGTTAGATACATTATTTCTCGTATTATCTTTTTTGTAAATCGGTCAAACATATTAAGAAGATTGGAAAGTTTATAATTTATGGACGAACCAATCACGTATAAGATAATAGGTTTCAATGGAGCTTTGTTCTCTGGGCCCAGAGAACAAATCTCCACCAAATCATCCACCTGAGCTACAAATCTCATAAAAGGCCTCGAATTTTAGTGTGAAATTCACTCATCCATTTGGATAAATGGAGTTTTGGCATTATAGCTGATGTCAGTTCGTGATGAAATCCTAACCTTAACCACCAACTATAAATTATAATTCTGATTCCTCACATTGGTTTATAACTCTAATTTAGTCCTAGTTATTAGGTGAATACTATCCAGGTCACTTTGGCGTCGCTCATAGGTCGTCCAAAAATTTGATGTGTCATCAGGAAAATGTTTCATAAAATTATGGGGAGGTGAGAGTGTGGAGATAGACCCGACAAGCTTATTTTGTAAATAGTTTTCAATGTTATTTGTATTTATTTTGTCAACCTTCCACTGTGTGTATATTTAACATTAAATGACTGTAACTGTTGTTTTAGTGAATGACCTTGAGCACACTTTCCGTTGTACTACATAGCGTGACATACCGCTGCATGGCTAACAAATACACTGCTTCTCACACATTCCTCGTTCTATTTTCTTTTGTGTTTGAGTTAACGGAAGTCTAAATCAAATACTATCTACATTTAT